ATAAAATTAAAAATAAAACAAACCATGAAACCTAGTTCCTAATCAACCCAGTATTAAAAGATGAAATTGTAGGGGTCAATTAAGAAAAAGAAAAAACTCAGGTCAACTGAGTTAACTTGCTTAACTCATGGGCTGGTTTATGATATCGAGATAAAACAATAAAAAGTAAATACAATGTTGAAAGATTCGTGATTCGGGTCATGAGACCAGAATAACCTCGCAGAAAAAAAACAAAAAAACAATTGGATTTAACCTAAGTTAACCTGCTAAACTCATGACCTTGATCATGAGACTGAAATAATTCAATAAAAATCAAATCAATACAAATTATAAAACTCGATTCTTAATTGACCTAACATTGAATGATGAAATTGAAAAAACAAATTGTTAAAAAAAACACAAAAAACAACCCAAGTCAACTTGGGTTAACTCGAAAAGCGCTATTCTCTACTTATAAGGTTGGGATAACCTAATAGAAAATAAACCAAAAATAAATCATGAAATTTAAGTCTCAATCAACTCAATATTAAATGATAAAATTGAGGGGGGTGAGCTAAGAAAAAAACCCCGAGCTAACTGGATTAACCAACCAAACTTGTAACTGTGTCATAAGAGTGAGATAATCTAACAAAAAGTAAATCTGATCTTGATTGATAAAAGTGAACCAAAAAAAACATTGATTGAAAAAAATCAATGGAAGAAAAAAAAACTCTATTCTAATAAATAATATTTTGTGATGAGAGTTACAATAAAATGCTTTTCTCTATTAGTTTTGTTTTAATTAATATTAAATATCTTTGATACTTTTAATTTAAATGTTTATACTTCACTTTTTGTTATTTTTTAAATCAAAAAACATACTAAAAGGCATCGGTCATTTATTGTGCCCTTAGACATACTTCCTCGTTCTTTAAAGTAATGTAATTACTTTTTTATCCTTTTAAAAAATTTATTGATTATTGTTAAAAAAATAGTTATGCTTGTAATTATGGGCACAATAGTCTTTTTCATAAAGTGTCTTAATCATTGCAAAATTGATTGGAGATAAATTGATCTGGATACTATTTTTATTGCAGTAAAATGACCATTTCACCCTTAAAAGAAAAAAAATATCAAGCTTCCGCAAACAAGCTTTTTAGTCTTTTGAAAATAATTTATACAATTAGGTTATGATTGTAACCCCAAGGAGAAAAATAAAATGAACATGTATGGAAGGTTTTCCATCTTATCCATTTAAAAAACCAGTGAAATTGCAAAACTACATTTGGAATATGAAAAAAACTAAGATTAATTTCAAGTGTGTCTTAATCTTTTAATTATGTTTTTGTTGTTATTTTTTATTTTGGTCAGGGTTTGTACGATAATTTTATATTATTAAATATTATTTTTAAAAAAGTTATGAATACATACACTACACGCGTCACCATATGATAATCTTTACGTCCAATTGCCAAAATCCTACCTTCGTGGTGGCATTGGGAGACAAGTCATTCTTTTTCCAGTAATGTTATATATGCTTGTAGAGGAGGTTTAGTTGGGTTGTGGTGAATGTTTTTTTCTCTTTCTATTTTCTCTCTTATTTCTTAGAAATTCTTACATGACTTTCAAAAAATAATTGATTTTATTTAGTTTGTGATTTTTTATTTTCTTCTTTATATTTTCTCTTATTCCTTAGAAATTCTTACATGACTTTCAAAAAATAATTGTGTCCTCAGTTAATGATTTTATTGATTTTGACCCTTTTTTATTATTGTTTATTTGGCTTTTAATTTTTTTTGAAGTTTTTTTTATTTCTTGCCTAGCATTTTATTTAATTTGATTTCTTATTCAATTTGGTCCCTTTACTCTTGATGACTTTATTTTTGTGTTTTATATTTTTATTGATTATTGTTATTTTATGCAATATCATCCTTTCCGATTTTATTGCATTTTTTTTCTTAATCTATTTTTTAACCTCATTTTTTTTATTTCTATATTCTTATCTTTTCTTAATTTATTATTTTTTTAAAAATAATTATCCCTCAATATTTAATTTATTTATTTTTATCTAGTTATAGTCCTCATTCTTTTAATTATTTTTTTAAAATCATTTTCTTAGTTTTTTTAATCACTTTCTTGATTTTTTTTATTCAAATATCATATCATGGGTAATAGATTAATTAATTCAACCCAGATTGGCTTCATTTTTTTTTCTTGATTTTTTATGAGTTTTTTTCCTAGTTTCATCATTCTGTATGAAGTTATTTGTTATTTTATTATTTTTTATTTGGTTATTTCAAGAATAAGATGGTAAATTAATCTAAGTTAATTTGATTTTTTTTTTTATGTTTTCTATTGAACTGTAATTGTTTTTACTAGGTTGTTCTCTTAAGATTGTTTTTTCATTTCAATCTCATATTGTAGATTATGGATTCATTAACTTGACTTGATTTTTTTTTATATTTTTTATTAAATTTTTATTTTTTATGCTAAGTTTTTTTTTTAAATTATTTTTTTTATCTTAATTACATATTATAAGTTATGAGATTGTCATGTTAACTTGAGTTGAATTAGATTTTTTTTTTTGTGTCATAGTTTTTATTTAATTTTAATCTTATTTTTATTTTTATTTTTGACAAGTCATTAAATCTTGAAATTTATATATTTTTTTATTTTTTTAACAAATTATTTTAATCTCATATTATAGATATCATTTTAATAAATTTAACCCAATTTATCTTATATTATTATATCATTTGAAAAAAATTGGTCGCATTCTGGGAGTAGCGCGGACTCTTATTTGATGTTCTTAAACATTTGTGTAAAAACCATTAGAACGAGGACTGAGGGAATGGACGGGTAACAAGATTGATTGTCAGTATACTTCTGGATCGTTCCAATTAATTACACTCTTAATTTTTAAATAATTAAAGTCAATGATCTTTTCAGCTTCCGAAGAATCAACAGTAAATCATGAAAAGACGAGAGAGTATAAGAATCCTATGCTTTTCCCATAATTGCACTACAAAAGCGAGGACCCCAAATCCGGACTTACCACGTGGCACAAATCGAACGTCATATTACTCGTCGTGGCAATTTATGATCCAATGATCGGATGGACCCACATCTAAAGCTTCAATGTACTGAATCAGTATTTTTTTTCTAGTTTTAAGCCACTGTTGCTGATGTGAAAAACAAAGTGGTGGCAAAATGTGATTGGTGGGGCCTCTAATCTTAAAAGTTTTGCTTCCTTTTGACTTTCTTTATGTACACGAATCAAACGGTTCCCCGTTATTTATGCTATGGAGTTTCACGTACTGGAACAGCCCACTAAATTTGTTAATTAATTAATTTAGTTTTTTGAAGTAATGAAAAGTTATTATTGCAGGATGTTGAAATAGTTGAATTTTAAGGGCTTCCTTTTGACGTTCTTTTGAAAATTTCGTAACTTTATTATTCTGGCATTGAAAGAAAATCAAGAATACGTTTTTCTTTGTGGTGTTAAATCATAAATTCTGTAAATTAGGGGCTTGGGTCTAATATATTGGAGGAGGAGCATTTTCGTTAGTAGAAGCAAGAACACGATAAGAGGTGATTTTGTTTTGAAAATTAAATAAACTGATTTTATATTTTAAAAATATTTTTTAAAAATTTTAAATTTTAAATTTTATTTTATTTATTTTAAATTATTTTATTTATTTTTTTAAATTATTTTGATATCATAATTTTAAAAATAAAAAATATTATTAATATAATTTTAATATAAAAAATTATTTAAAAAATAATCACAACTATATTCACAGAAAAATTTACTTTAACCACGTTATTCACCGTTACAAAATATGTAAGGTAATTGAAAATTTTAAATTTATAAGGGCTGACACGGAGGATTCAAAAATTAAAACATCTAAACATAATTCATAAAAAAAATCCTATTAGTTATATAACGACAAAATCCTATTAGTTATATATAGGTTCTTTGAGTTCTTGTCTCTTTTTACTTCGCCCAGGCTCCCATGTTTAGTATTACGATAATTATTAATTTTTAAAGTTTTTTATTTAAAAATATATTTATAATATCAATATATTAAAGTGATATAAAAATATTAAAGAAATTAATTTTAAGTAAATAAAAAATAAAATTTATTATATTTAAAAAAATATTATTTAAAATATAAAAATAAACCTCCTATTAGCTGTCCACTCCTTCTATCCAATTTACTCTTAATTCTTAACATGTCTGCATTGTATATATTGCCAAAAACCAAAGGTGATTTGGACAGTAATTAGATCAAAGGACTGATAAATGAAAAAAACAAGGATAGCAATTTAATTGAAATTCATTCAGTATTAATTCAAACGAACATGAATGAATGGATTTTTTTATAGTTATATTATCCAATAAGGGGTTTTTTAATGAATTAAAAGGGTTTTTTAATGAATTAAAAGGGTTTTTTAAATTATTTTTTTTATTTTAAATTAAAAATTATTTTAATTTACTGATATTAAAAATAATTTTAAAAAAATAAAAATTATTATTCAATATATTTTAAAATAAAAATTATTTTAAAAAATTACTACATAACCTTTAAAATATAAATAATATATAAACAATACCAACCTAGATGCATAGTATCAGGTGCATACATGTAGAGGATTCAAAGAGTATTTAAAAATATGATAGTGATTATATTTAAAGTGAATTTTATTTTAAAATATATTAAAATAATTTTATTTTAAAATTATTTTTAATAATAATATATCAAAATAAATTAAAAATATTAAAAATATATTAATTTATAAAATAATTTTTTTAAAAAAATTACTTTCTAATTGCAGTGCCAAACACTGCGGTAGAGTGCGTGTGTGTATATATATATATATATATATATATAACATTTCATATATATAAAAATAAAAGGTAGTCTCCATTGAGAAAAAAAGGTAAAAACTCCAATTTGCTGTTAGAAAAGCCAAACAAGACCTTGGCTGCAATCACTCTCTTTTACAATGTCTCTGACGCAGTGAGATAGAGAGGCCCAGTCTGTCTGTCTCAGAGAGAAAGAGGTTCTATTATACCTGTGAGCTAACAGCTCATTCACCGTCTCTCCTGCTTCTTTCTCCTCTCTGGTTCTTTCCATAAGCTCATTTGTCTGTTTATGGGGCATTGAACCCTCAATCACACCACTCTCTTTCTTCACTCTTTACTCCTCACCACTTTCAGGGCATCATCAGTCCCTTCATTGTCTTCTCCAATGCCATTACCTCAAGGCGCCATCACCTTCATCATTAACACTTCCTCTAACTTATGCTGCAATTGTGCCGACTAAACCAGTACTCAAAGTGAAAAGAGAATCCCAAAAGCCATAAAAAAGAGACAAACAAACCTCATGGATTACTTCTCTTGCTGCTTCCCCACTCTCATTTCCAGCTGTGTTCTTCTTCTTCTTGTGAGTTATAAAGGTAATGATCCCACAAAAAATGCACTCTCCATTGTTATTTTCCAGTCCCTCCCTCACATTTATATTCTAATTAACTAAGACACAGCCCTTTACTAGGCTCATTTTGTGGTCAAGTACTCATTTCTTTGTTAGGCTTAAAGAGTTTTTGAATTTTAACTTCATTTTGCTGAAAAGTCCCAATCTTTTCACCTTACCCAATCTCAACAACGTTTTCTATGGGCTCATGTTTGTATCTAGTTACTAATTCACATTCTGATCCTATTTTCTCATCAAGTCACCATTTTTTTCTTCTAAGAACAACCTAAAAGAATGCCGGAGGAATTCTTGCTATTTTCCGGCATTCTTGCTATTTTCTGGATTTTCCTTCATGGGTTTTGCATTTCGTGCTTCTGTTTGTTATCACTGTCCAATCATGTCTTAAAATTTTTAATTTTGTTTTAGTTATAAATTAATCCTTTTGTTTTTGTTTCTAGGTCGTTTAATATAAAAAATAAATCTTAAAAAATAAAATAAAATATTGTTTTAATATTTTTCCAACCAATAAACACTACCATTATCACATTCTCAAAGAGACCTCCATGTTTTTATAGGTTGTGTATTAGCTGCTACGTTCACATTTGTAAACAAATGTGAGCACACAGTTTGGCCTGGAATTCTTGCCAATGCGGGCAGTCCTAGACTTGACAGCACAGGATTTGAGCTTCCACAAGACGCTTCTCGTTCTTTTATAGCCCCATCTGGCTGGTCTGGTCGTTTTTGGGCCCGAACCGGCTGTAATTTCGACGAATCCGGAGCCGGGTTGTGCTCAACAGGTGACTGTGGGTCGGGTCAAGTTGAATGTAACGGATTTGGAGCTGCTCCACCTGCTACATTAGCAGAGTTCACACTCGGGTCGGGTGGGCAGGATTTTTACGATGTTAGTCTTGTAGATGGGTACAATTTGCCCATGGTTGTGGAAGGTAGTGGGGGGTCGGGCATGTGCGCTTCAACGGGCTGTATATCGGATCTAAACATACAGTGTCCACAAGAACTGAGGGTTGGTGAAGGCGACGCGTGTAAGAGCGCGTGTGAAGCTTTTGGGAGCCCGGAGTACTGTTGTAGTGGCGCGTTCAACACACCCGCCACTTGCAAACCATCTGTTTATTCAGAGATGTTCAAGGCTGTTTGTCCTAAATCTTACAGTTATGCTTATGATGATGCAACTAGCACTTTTACTTGTAGCGGAGCTGATTATACAGTGACCTTTTGCCCTTCATCTCCGAGGTAAGGAAATGTCTCTCTTGGGTTAGTGTTGTCTTTATAATTTTGGGTTTTTTTTTCCTGGTGAATCTTCCACTTGTTTGAAGTCATCTCCGAGGTAAGGAAATGTCTCTCTTTGGTTAGTATTGCCTTTATAATTTTGGGTTTTCGTTTTTTTTTTTTTCTGGTGAATCTTCCACTTGTTTGAAATTTTTCTTTGTTTGATTAATATAGAATTGATGCTTATTTTTTTGTCTCGTTGGAAGTTTGTTCTTTCTTACATGGATGTTGTCTAAAGATAAAGGTAGCCTAGCGGCTAGCATCTTTCTTTTGCGAGGAGGACCAGGGACAGCCGGGGCTACTTGCAGTGGTTGATCCTAGCCATATGTATGAACTAAAGCATCGGACACTCGGCTAGGATCTTCGTCCACTGCATGCAGCCGCGAGTGTCTTTGGTAAATCCCTCCTTTGCGTGCTTTAACAATGATCTGGGTGAAATCACAATGATATTATCCACACATGGGAATATCGAGTATCGTGGGCTGCCTTGTTCTGGTTTAGTGTTTGTGGAAAGCAAAATTATGGTTTTAGTTGTGTGTGACGGCTATTGTAGTAGTTTTTTCCATTTTTTTGATGGTGATTATGTTTAATTTCACCTTCTGTTCGTGTGGAGGTAGATGGAGGCAAATTAGCAACGACAAAGATCCTCTTTTGAATGATTAATTTATTTCATTTGTTAATTGTGTTAGTGCTCGAGGATTAATTGAGGTTGCAATCAAAGTTGTCATTTATATTATACCAGAGAATCTGACCCGACCCGTAATGATTATTCCTGTTACGGTATTTTGTAATTGATGGTTTTTTTTGACATGTGGTGTTAGCAGTCAGAAATCATCAAGCTACTCAACGCCAACGACAGAAGGAGCAACAACATCACAGGGGTCTGGCACAGGATCCGGGCTGGAATACACGGGCTCTGGTTCAGGCATTGATTCTGGGGCTGGATCTGGGACTGGATCCGGAGGAGAAACCATGCTAGCAGATGGGTCATGGTTAGCTGGTTTGGCCATGGGAGATTCGTACAAGACAGCTTCTCCTGCTGCTCTACAATCAGCAATAATGGCTTTTACGACTCTTGTCCTTACTTTTGCCCTTCTTCACTCGTAGCACTAGGACCTTTCTCTTTGTTTAATGGCTCCTGCTCTTGAATGTGATGAATTTTCATTACAGATTTGCAGCCTTGATGGATTCTTGGATTTTGCCTTTGTTAGGAAAAGCTGACAGATTCTCTTTTGCCTTTGTTAGGAAAAGCTGACAGATTCGCTTATCCAGATTGTAAACCACCCACTCCAAGATTCTCTTCCACTTGAATTTTAAATGTTAAATACGTAGAAAGTGTTCGTTTTCTCTGTGTTATTTCAGGATTATTAGGGTTCTCTTTGCTTTCACAGGTCTAAGCCTTTTTGGCGAGAGTTAACGCAACCAAGCACAGATCAAGGACAAGGCCTTGATCTGTGCTTGCATTTTTTTTTTTGGGCTTTTCACATCGTGTCCAGTTGATTGTAAAGAAAGAAAGAATTTAGGAATAAATTGAGAGTGATTTGTGTAATGTGAATGTGAATGTGAATAGGTTTGCTGGCAGGTGTTTTTTTTTAAATAATTTGAAAATATATAAAGAAATAATTTTTAGTAAAGAAAAAAAATGTTTTTAAAATAAAAAAACAGACGGGATGGGATCCCTTTGCGGGGAATGCAAGTCTCTAGCTCATTTCTTGTCCTTGTTTGTCATGGAAATGGATTTCCTGGAAGCTTATCGCGTCGTGTTAATTAGCACATAATGAGCCTCCCTCTTTCATGAAGAGCCAATCATCAATAATGGTTACAGGGGCTAATTATACAATAAAAACAAATAACACACCAGTTAATGAAGAGAAATTGCTACTCCGGGCTAATTATACAATAAAAACAAATAACACCCACCAGTTAATGAAGAGAAATTACTACTCCACAAGTTCAAGATCACAATCTCATTTTGCAAAATCAACAGAAAGCAATCATCAATCTCGCGAATAAATCTTGTGTGTTGAAAGGACTCCATCATGTTTCTTCTGGGCCCTACCACTACTGATTGTCATCATATTTGCTGGCCCTTCATGTTACCCGGAGAAGTTTTTCAACAAAGCTTTGAATTATTTGCAGTCATTAGAAAGCTCAAGATAATATAAAGTCAGCAGCAGGAGTTAAAAATTTCAACTTGCACTCTTAAGCGGCCACAAGAAACAAGAAAGTCAATTGTTCTTGAAGAACTTTAATGGGAAACCCTAGTCTGCTAAAGGCTTGAAAGTGGGCTACGATAGAAGGCTGTTGAAGAGGCGGAAAAGTGTGGCACAAGCCGCCTGCTAGAGGTCCATTACAGGATATACCATGCTTTTAATTTATTATTGTTGGTCGAACAGCTTTAAAGAGGCACCATCAACCCACTGCAAAAATTACAAAAAGAAAAAGGGAAGGAAAGAAACCTCTCCTGATCTTCTTGCTGAAGATTATTGACAGGTGAGAAATGTTTCCATCCATTCTTTAGTTATCTACCGTTACTTCAAGTGTTTTTTGTAACGATTTGATATTCTTTGATCACTCTTATCAACGAGACGATGGTGATGTATTAACAAAAAACTTCCCAATCTTAACTCCTTAGATTCGCATTCGAAATAATATTAGCAGAACAGTTCCACTGGCCACTTGAACTACAGCTTGTGTAAGAATCTGTAATGACATTGGGCTCATAAAATCTAAGTTCCCCGTTAAAGGGACCAAGTACGCCCAACCTTAAGCCCAACCTTTGAACTTCTACCATGGCCTTTTCATAAAGAAACAAAAGTCAACAATATTTAACTCTTGTCAATACATAAATTACTGTACTCGGAAGCCCAACATTGCTAGAAATTCCAAGTTCAGCGCAGCACAAAGCCATAGGCCATTGCAATGATATTTAACTAGTCAAAAATTTCTGACAGTCTACCTTGGTTGTTCGGTTGTTCCTAGTATGGTGATAAAGATTATAGGAATGGTGTTGGTCACAACTGAATGTTAAAATGCTTCGTTTCATCACTTTGACTGAGTGACAGTGTTGAATTTGTAGTTCTGTTGCCATATTGCACCATTATTTTGTATTCACCTAAGAAGCCAAAGAAGCTGTATGATCCTTGATCATCTGTGCGGCCCTTTCCTTGCCCGGTTTCCCATTCTCTTAGGAGCTTGTCAACTGTATCACCGGCCGGGAGGTTTTGAAGATTATAATCTGTAAGGCACATTTGGTAGCACCCCCCATTGGGATGGATTGCAGTCCAAAGCATGATCCCATCCACTGCAGGATGCGAGAAGCCTTCTCTTAACACCTGCTCTAGATAAATAGCCTGCAGAGTTGACACCATAAGGAAATGTTAGGATACGAATATTCATTTTAGATTCTTTATTAACTGAGAATAAATGATGAATACCCTAGTGCACCTGAGTTTCTTTATCAAATTTATTGCTGATATCAACTTCTGTAAGCCAAATGGGAAGCTTAAGGGTAGCCAGTTTATCTAGAATAGCCCTCATTAGAGGAAGATTTGGCTTAGAAAAGTGACTCTCTAGGCCAATTCCATTCATTGATGATCCTCCGCGTTCAAGTTCTCTTATCTTATCAATGTAGGTATCTACAGTTGTATTCACATCAGTGCAAGTCTCCACAACATTAAATTCATTCAAAAACAATGATGCTAAGGGGTCTGCTTCGTGTGCTGTCTTATAGAAATGTAAAGTGGCATCCGGACCAAGCCTTTCTTCATAGAAATCAAAATGTAGCATTTCATTGCTAACATCCCAATGTATAAACTCTTCTTTGTACTTGCTCATTAGGCTTTGAATCCGGGAGCTGACTGCTGATTTTAGGGCAGGACCTGTGAGATCACGAACCCATGCTGGATTGTACTTGGGGTCTTCCCAGAAAATATTGTGGCCTCTAGCAACTATTTGGTTGGCTAGAACGAATTCCAACATTTGATCTGGTATGGTGTAATTGACCTTCCCTTGTTCGGGTTCCGTCGCATACCACTTGAGTTCATTTTCAAATACTGCTGCATTGAATCTCTCAACAAACCAATTCTGAAACAATCAGAGCAATTTTCTTAGTCAGCCTTGTCGCCAGAAATTAGTACTCTTTCCTATTTATTTAATTTACAATCTTCTGTAAGACTATTACTTGTACTGAACTTGCCTGATAGGGTAAATTTCCAAGAATTGTTCTTGCTATTGCTGATCCAAATGGGAAATCTTTTGAGATTTGATCTATTGTAATGGATGCTCCTTGCAACCTATCTCCATGACTATCTGACACATGTATTGTCACGGGACGCTTTCTTTCCTGGTGAAGGAAATATATAAGAGACCGAGCTGCTTCTTTCAGTTGAAACTATTTCTTAGATCTGGCAATACTAGGCCTAGAAAAACAGACACTATCAGCCCATGAAAACACAAGGTGTTAACAGTGCTTACAGTGTTAATTATGTATTGCTGATTTGTTCTCCATTGCTGCTCAGTAAACGGCTGTACTGAAGCACTTGCAATTGCGACATCGATACTTTTGTCAGCTGTGCCCTGCATGAACAATTCAAAAACAGAAAATAATTTCATCAACATATAGACATTATACAATTTGTTTAATATTAGGACAACCCAACATTGATAGGTCCAGACAATGAACAAGTAATAGAAGAAGCTTTTAATCATAAACAAGTTAACCTGAAAATATAGTATTGATACACTTGAAGGTGAATCAAGAATGAATCCTCCCTTGAGAAACGACCAGCATCCACTCTTGGCCAAAACAGTCCCAACGCAATCATTTGTGGAATTATTATTTGTCATTAGGCTTGCAGTTACTAGAGTTGAATCTGCACCCTGTATCTTGACCCAAACTGCATCACACCAAAAACTACACTGGCCTCAGGGAACATCTATCAATTATAGAGCTCATAACAATGATTTATATCAAGCCGTTACCAAAACATTCATGCCAGGAAAATGGTTCCTAATAGCTTAATTATGGAGTTCATAACATTCGTTTTTGCACAATGGCTTGCTGAGTTGAACCTGGCCCTTTGATTGTGCAACAAAAAATCAAGGCTATAGTTTTATAGGAGATGGAACATTAAAGCAAAGAAGAAACGATCGCTCAACTGGAAAAACAATACATAGTGTTTTGAGCTAGATTTTGCAATATCAAAGCTGGTGTATAAGAGCCATCTGAAGAAGTACTAATTCTGTGCTGGGTAAGTGGTGCTTGATCTTTGAATATCCCTCCATTATATAGTGGCTTCTCTGGCACTGATTTACACTGCCAACAAAACATCCATAGCCATGGAAAGGTAATGTAAATTTGAAGAGGAGAATTTATCAATGATCTCCTAAATCATACCAGTTTACCTCAGTGTAGGCTGTGAAGTCATACAAAGGTCCATCTGCATTAACCACACACAAAAAAGAAAAGGAAAAAATAGTGATTATAGGTCAAACAAACTTGAATTTAAAAACCCAGAAGCAATGCAAGAAATTGAGAAAGCACCGTAAGAAAAAGCCAAGAAAGGGATCAAGAAAACTGAGAAGCCCAAGATAGGAGCCTTGTGCATGCTCTTCTTGCTTAGAAAAGCCATGAACAGCATGAATGGAATGGATTGTAATTTATATAGATAAATGTTTTTATGAGGGACTGGAATGGAGGCTACAACTTACAAGAGTGAATGCCACTTAAATTTGAGGTGGTTCACAAGGGTACAGTGCTACCTTGTCTTTCATAAGCCTATCGTTGCCCTTGTTCACATGTTATTTGAGATGCTTATGTGAAGACATGCCATCCATCAATTAAAACTCAATCTTTTGTGTATGGATTCAGTATCTTTTTTGGATCTTTCTTAATTACCTGTAACCTTTGCTGAATGGTCATTTTTAATTATCATCTGTGGCCGAGAGTCGAGTCCCTAGCTACGTACGTAGGGTGGATGTTTATTATTCCATTATTATCTGGCTTTATTGATCCTTGCCTAATCAATAGTCTCCCCCTTTGCTCTGATGGAAATCCCAGCAACTGTGAGTGTTAAAGGATCATCATCACCTAACTAGTGAAGCCGATCCTGCTATAATTTAGTGGCACGATCCATGTTCCGTTGCTTTTAGTCAGTGTTTTAGGGAGTGGAGGACGGGTTGGTTTGTTCAGAAGAGTGGTTACAATTGCCGTATAATTTATGGCTTGCGAAGCTGAAGCTGGTAGAAAATTGACTGAGTTACAACTGCCGTATAATTTATGGCTTGCGAAGCTTAAGCTGGTAGAAAATTGACTGACAAAGAGGTATTGACAGTGACTTCATAGAAAGGTCCTGTACGTTTGATGAATTAAGATGGTGCATGCTTTGACTTCAAGCTGCCGTTCCCTGTATGCGTTGCAGTCTAAAAAGTGGGAGAGCTTTCATGGCTTCAACTGGCACGCCTTCATGATGCAGCATACCATGGAGATCCACACATGTCCTACAAAGGTCCCTTATTTTCCTTGTCCAATGTCAGCAAGACAAAATTATTCACAGCACGGGGAGAAAATGGTGCGCTGTGGTCACGAGGGGAGCTAGGATTCAAAGATAGGGGCGGCAGAGAGAGACTCTTGAGAAATATGAGGGCAGCTGTCTAAAACTAAGGAGTAAATTTGAAATGCAAAAACTAAAAGGTCTAAAATGATTTTTTAAAAAACATTGAAGAGGGCAATTACCCGCCTTCTCTTCCACGTAACTAGGTCTTTGCTGGTCAAACTGAGAGGTTTTTTTTCTTAAAAAAAGGATTACCTACAAAGGTTTTTAATGAGTTTTATATTCTTTATGTAGTATTTAAATTGCAATAATACATGAATAAATCACCTATATAAGAATGGACCGAAGCCACTCCTATGCTCAATAATACATGAATAAATCACCTATATAAGTATGGACCGAAGTCACTTCTATGAGATATTAATAAAATTTTAGAGTATTTATAAACAACTAAAAGATCATTCATAAACAATTAAGAGCACACATGGCCTCTTAAGCACAAAACTGAATCAAACAATAAGAAATTATGGAGATTTAATGTGATTGGTGAAATAACTGACTTATAATAAAAAAATTTAATTTACAAAAATAAAAAAATCACTGATAATTCTTAAAGTTAAATCTAATTCTTTATATCATTTGATTTATAGTTCAAAAGATATCAAATTATATACATTACACTCAATAGATAAAAATTTAACAAGTATATTTTTATTTTTATTTTTTTTTAAATATGCGAGGAATTGTTATAAATAACAAAGATTATTTAAATTTTTGTATCTCATATAAAAAAATAAAAACAAATAAGGACACCAATGGATTCTCTAACCTGAAGTTTTCAAAAGAAAAGTTTCAACCTTCTAAAGAGAGACAAACATGAGCATAAATGTGTTCCAGAATACCCAACTTCAATTTAAGTGTACGGATTATATATATATATATATATATATATAATCCCAAAGTGGAGGGATTACTGTATATTTTGGAATGTACTCAGAAGACATTGATTGGCAATTGTATAAATTAATTGTAAAATTATGTGTGCCTTGAGAATAAATTTGTTTGTTCATGCTAACACAAATGCTTCTTCTTTATTGGTAGCTAGTGGCTTGGCCATTAAGTTCGCACTGTGAGTTTTTTTTTTTAAAAAAAAGAAAAAAAATGATTACAGTCCTTATTATTTCGAGAGTTCTGATGACAGTTCTTGTCATCATTTTCACTGGCATATTTGCACGTGATATTTAATTAAATTAATTTTTTAAAAAATATTAAAAATATAAATTGTTTTTAGTATTATTAAATCCAATCAACAAAACTTGTGAATTCAACTCCATGTTTTAATTTCAAATTAAATCATGTGAAAAATAAATTGTTCAATTTAATAAATTTAAAAATAACTTAAATAATCAATAAAATATAATATATTTTTTAAATAAACTTTAAAATAATAATTTTTTATATATTGAAACGATATCAAATTAAATCGGCCTTAATCGCCTTGCTACATGAATTATAGATTTTAATATGTTTAATAACTTTATTGTTTTTATAATTTATTTTTGTTTAATTTTATAATAATATTAGATACTTTCAAAATCGACAATCAACTTTAAAATAATATTTATTTGAAATCATGATAACTTTATAAAAAATAAAAAATATGAATTTTATTTCTTAACCAATTTAATATTGAATAAGAATGTAATAAAAAAAATACTAGAAATATTAAAGGACCAAAAAATTAAAAACAAACATATAAAGTTTGATAAGCAAACTCACTAAACCCGTGTATTGGGTGACCCAAGTCAACATGTTAAACCCGCAAACCGGGCAATGAACTTTATTGAAATTAATAACTTATTTTTTTTAAAAATTATTATTTATTTAACTGTACGATAAAAAAAATAGATGATCACAAAATAAAGTGTTAAACCAATACTAAGATTTTTTTTAAAATCATGATAAACTCATGGAATATAAAAAAAAATTATGAAACTCAATTCTCAAGCAGCCCAATATCAAAATATGAGATAAAAATTTTTTTTTTAAAAAAATATAAAAATTACACTCGTCGTATCCGTCAACAGGCCTATGGATTTTTTAAATTTAATACCATGATTTTTTTCTAAAGCTATTTTTTTAATTATGTGATTAAAAAAAATAGACAATTACATAATTGAGTTTAATATAAAAAAAGTACCATATTAAACTTGTAAATTGAAACAATTAGGACTGCCTTGCAAAACTTACAAACTGAGTCATTGGCTCCACAAAGTTTATTAAATTAGTTTTTTAAAATTATTTTTTATTTGACCATTTTGTTTTTTAAAAATAGATCATACCATGATGCTAAGATATTTTTATAATAACTATATAAAAAATAAATTAAAATAAATTATTAATTCTAAACCCCGATAAACATATTATATAATGATTAAATTAAAAAAAAATCAATAATTAAAAGAAAAAAAAGGTCAAAATGCCAAAAAAAAAACTAACTTTATAGATTACTATTATAATTTAAAGGTATAATGGGTGTGGGGAAATTTGATTTCCCCAGAGCTTTATTTATAATTATAAATATAGGTAAGGAAAATATGAGAATAACATTGGAAATTTGTATAATATTTTTTTTTGTGGGAGACGAGGGTAAATGACTGATTTTGATGCTTGCATTTCAAAGCGGGGTTGTAATATTTTTTGTGTAAAAATTAATATTAATATTCTAAAATAAGATAGAAAAATATATAAAAATTAGTCATGATAAACCTGTAACCATGCTAATTAAAATTAAGCTAATTATATAACTTCTAGTTCAAATCATATGATTAAAATAATTCAATAAATAAATAAAGAGAATTACAAAGTTTTTTTTCTATAAAAAAATCATGATTACTTTTTAAATCCGTGACCCTAGTTATTAAACTTGAAGTATACAATCTGAAAAAATTATAAAGTTTAATTTTCAATCAATCACATATTAAATAATAAAATTAAAAAAATAATTTTAATTATACGAAAGGGTTCTAAAAATAGCAATTAAAAGAATGATGATAAAAATTAAATTTTATCTTTAATTAAATGGTGAAATTGATAAAAAAAAAATTAATTTAATAAAAGAACAATTTTTTTTTGAAAAGAATAAAGCTTAAGATAGACATTAAAAATAAAAACAATGTTGTAATTAAATGGTGAAATTGAAAAGAATAATAACTTTTACAAAAGAATTAAGAAAAAAAATTAGAAATCAAAACAACAAGGATCAAATTGAAAAACATAACACCATCAATTTGAATTAAATGATGAAATTGAAACAATTAGGATAAGGAAAAAAATTAAAAAAAAAATACTAACAACTAAGAGGACCAAACTGTAATTTTCAAGGGAGGAAAGAGAAAAAAACTCACCAATAACAAATGAGATCACCACTAAAGACACCCGTCACACCAATAAAAAAAAAACAAACAATATTTTCAAATATATCGGGAAAATGATTTTTTGGACACTTTGAGAGGGTGACACAAGCATTTTCTGTTTTTTATTTATCTAAATACAAAAGTGTCCTAAATTGACTTTTTAATTAAAAACATATTGTGAAAAACCAAAAAATCCCTTGACCTCATGCTTAATATGTTTTATTTTAAAAATATTTTTATTGTTTTGTTGTTTATTTTACTTTTTTATGACTTTTTTTATATTTAATTAAATTTTAAATTGCCTTAAATTGTGATAATAACAAAAAAAAATTGTGAAAATATAAAAATAGTTAAAAAATTTTATATCCAAGAGTAATCTAGTTATTTTATTGCAATAATTATAGAAAAATACTGATTAATTTAAAAACAACACATTAGCCATGTAAAAAAACTTCAATACTCTTGGAAACAAGTGTAAAGTTTTTCGGATAAAAGAACAAAATCATCATTATTAAGAATGCCAGTGGATCTTTAGCTACAGGCCAATTAGGTTTTGTTGATTAGAATTAATTTGTTCAAGCATAAATTTATTCAAACACAACCAAGAAGCATTAAACTTGTTGAGTGCCCATGGTATAGTAAGAGGTTTTGGTCACAAAGCCCGTCATCGCTTTAGAGCAAGTGTGGCCCATCATAAGCCCGACTATTGAACTTCTTTTCATGGACTGATCATGCTAGAATCAAAGCTCAAAACTATAGAATCAAAGCCGAAATAATTTTCTGCTCTACAAGCAAGATTGACAGTATAGGAGTTTTCTGTCAATTCAGTAAGCCACAACAAAGATTTACAGCTTATGGAAATTTTTAAAGCACAATCTGCCTAGCAGTTCCTCCTATGCTGATATTCAAAATTGACTGTTAAAATGTTTCGTTTCAAGTGACAGTGTTGATATTAGACGGGGAGTAATTCTTCATTACTCCCATTTTCATTCTGCAACTAACAGCCAACCACGTAATATAAAGTTACTTGAAGCAGAGGCAGAAAATGATGAGTCGTAGTGCTTGCTGAGAATGGATTGGCATCGGCTAGTTCTTCATCGAGAGAAATCCTTCAAAACCCAAATCTACAACTTTATTATTATTATATGCATTCACCCATCTTAATCTATTCGCAGGAGAAATTTCTCCTAGCCTTCCCTTGACTGTGAACCAAAGAAGATTTATTATTATTAGTTGAATTCACCCATATTAATATATTCAGCGGAGAAGTTTCTCCTAGCCTTCCCTTGACTTTGAACCAAAGAAGATAACCAAGCCAGAGGACCTGTAAGTTGAAGCTCAGATCTATTAACGAGGTAAGCTGCCGTCCCCCCTTGACTTTGAACCAAAGAAGATAACCAGCCCAGAGGACCTGTAAGTGGAAGCTCATATCTATAACCTGCCGTCCATTATGTCACTGACACTTGACAGGGTTTTTATTGCACACCTCACAATTCACTTTGGAAAATTACTATTTGACCATGGTTCACGAAAAAACTCAATCGCCATACAGGGGACTAAAATCCACTACAACTTCTGGCCTCCTTGGATCTGGTCCATGTAATAATAATCATGATTGATTAACATGGGAAAAAATGAAATTACAATCTTGAACAAAATTGCTTGCACACCGTCTACTTAGAATACAAATCAGACCATATTGGAAAATTCGATTGTGCAATTTACTTTTTAACCAAAAATAAATTGACCAACAGATGATGAACTTTGGATGTCATTGGGCAGAAGCCCTTCAATCCCACCATATATATTTTTTATTTTTTATCTCGCAGCTCCAAGTAATTTCATATCATTGCAGATTGGATGCCGCGAGTAATTTCATATCATTGCAGATTGGATGCTGCAGCCAATTTCTTTGATCTTCTGCTCATGTAGATCCTGTTATAAATCTTCTTTGTTCTGATTCCCAGAAGAACATCCAAACCAAACCCAATGACACATGCAATGGCCATGATGATGAAAACAAGTCTATAACAATGGGCACCAACACAAGTATTGCCACCTCCTGGTGCTGGGGTAGCTTCTGCGTCGTATAAAAATCCAGCAAGCAGACCAGAAAATAGGAAGGAGCCCAGAGGAAGATTGAGGATTAAGATGTTGTATATCAGACCAAAATACTTGAGACCAAATAGTTCGGAGGCTGTCGGGACTGAGACAGCTAAACGAACTCCGTAGCAGATACCAACGACTATCGAACCGACGTATAGCGACCCAGGCAAAGCCACAGCCATGAGGATGTAGCCAACAGCCATTAAAATCTGAGATGCTGCATTCCAAAGAGGCCTTGGTATTCCAGCTTTCCTGCAAAAACGAAAATGACCAAAAGGTCAGAATATGTCCCCGCTTTTAACTTAAAAGACCCTATTTACGTTCGATTTAACACCCGTTTAACCTTCTTTTCTCTGCACCACAGAAATTCTCAACTCCGTAGTAACATTTAACTCTCTTGACGCAGACTCATCAAGAACAGTTCAAGAGCTGTATCGTGTGTGTGTGTGGGGGGGGGGGTCTTGGATGATAAGACGCCAGAATAAATCCAAGCTCAACTGTGGCAATCGTGAAGCCGACATCACCCAAGAAGTCAAGAATTGGACCCAGCCTTGTGATGAGGAATATTACCCAAGCCACTTGCACAAAGTAAAATTTACTTGGCAATTAAGCATTGTCACGGGGTAGCAAAGGAAATAAGAATTCATATCTGGGGCAAAGCGGCATAGCAGGTTGACATCCCGAGTCATGACCCTTGTAAAGACCAGCATATTTGAACTACTCCAACGAGCTCGTTCAAATAAAGACTTCTCAGGACTAAACGGAGCTCGTTCAAATAAAGACTTCTCAGGACTCAACGAAGGCTTGATGCGTTAAGCACGATGCCAGATAAATACATGACAAAGGATTAAAGGGAGAGATCGACACCAAAAACACAAACTGTATATTTTTTCTATCAGGTTCTAAAAAGCAAGGAGTCCATGGTTGATGGTTGCCATGAGCTCTTAGCAAGGAGATTCTCCACGTAACCCTAACCTATCCCTATAAATGGACCATCCTAACAATTACATCCAAAAAATTTGACCCTTCAATGTGTCAAGGTGTCGAATTTAATTGAGTGGTCTGAAAAAACAAAAAGGAAGAGTTATAAAGATGCTCAACTAATCTCTCAAATCACCCCCCCCCCCCCCCCCCTAAATCACTTAACCATGTACTTTATCAGCGAGACAAGAATATATTTTATTAAAATGGCATGTGCTTTTAGACCTCTGGGACCTAAAAATTCGAGTGCTGAATTAGTTGGCTCACTTCTAGAATCAATCGATACGAGATTCAAGACAAGTGGGGGTTGCGCAGATCTGTATAAGAATTTTTTAAAAGTGTATTTTAGTTTAAAATATATTAAAATAATATATTCTTATTTTTAGAATCAACTTACGAACAATCCAAAAATACAACAACAATTTAACTTAAAACTAAACGAAAATCATTTAAAAAAAAAAAACGGTGGCAAACGATGCTAAGAATTGACTAGCCTAAATCTTGAGTCTAAATTTAAAAAAAAAAAACGGTGGCAAACGATTCTAAGAATTGACTAGCCTAAATCTTGAGTCTAATTCACAGCGTGCTTTCAAAATGGGGACTTTTGAATCAATTAATAAAAAATATATCCAAGAAAAGAAACAAGCAGCCGTGTTTTAGCAGGCACAGCCCATTCCAAGAAGTAAAGATATCTCATTGTTCGAAGGAAAAAGAAAAACAGAACGGAAAAGGAAAGCAACCGGGTGTGGAAAACGCAGGCACCAACGTGGTGCTTAATGCTTTTTTTAAAAAAAAGGGTAAAGCACATACCTAAAAATAAGGATTCGAATTTCTAAATTGCAAGAGGACTTATAAAAGTCAACTAATAGAGAAGTTATGGTGAGAAAATGCCAATTAACTCAACTTCTAAGAAAATAAACCAGGGATCAAGAAACTTACTTGATGTAGTACTCAGACACCGAGCCAGAAACAATCCTTCCAAAGAATCCCCAGATACTTGTCAAGGAAATGAAAAGAGAAACGTCAGCATATCCGAGAGCCAAGCCAATCTGTCCCATATTGTTCATCACAGCCAAACCTGTGCCAACCCCACAAAGGAAAGACAAGAACAGAATCCAAAAATCAACGGTCCACATTGCCTCAAAAAGTGTATGATCCTCTCCAATCACCGGCCTCCTCTTTACCTCCACAGCTGCCTTCTCCTCCTCTAAAGCGTGCGGTTGCTCCACCACTGCTGAAGCAGACTCTTCAGCGGGCTTTTCTTGAATCTCCTCCTGGGTTTTCTTTTCTATCAATAAAGGTTCTTGAATTTGCCTTTCAACATCCGCTTGGTTCTTGAACCGGTTCAAAGTCCAGCTTTTAATAAAAGCATGAACTGGAGCTGCTAATGGAGAAGCTAAAAGAACGAGCAATATAACCGAGAACGCCAATGAAATAGCATGGCTAGGATTTGGAATAAAACCGTAAGCCATTAAATAAACAGCCACAATAACAGCAACAGCGTTGAAGATATTGAAGTATTTGCTTTCTTCTTTTTCTTCCTCTATAGTAGCGGCAGGTGGGGTTTCTCGGAGGAAAACGATGGCGGTGAGACAGACAGCAAAGGGGATGACGGAAAGCATTATGAGAAACTTTGCAGGGTCATCTGCAAATAGAGCTGCACACAGGTCGGTGAATATAGCAGTGCTTAGACCAACATAGCCCTTCAAGATTCCAGAGACAGGGCCACGGTTGCGGCGGAAGTTGCGGATGCAGGTTACTAAAACCGCCGTGTTCATCCATGTAGTGCTGTTTCCTCCTAGACATAGGAAGATGCACATCTGCATTCCACATTAGAAAAATAATTATTCGGTAAGATCATAAAATCACCGAAAACTAACTATGCACCAAATCCCGGCAGAATCCTGAGCTACAGTTAAATCTTAACAACAAACATGGTTACTGAGACTATAAAATTGGTAAGATTTACCTGCCAATAAGGGAGAGGTTGAATTCTCCCACTAACAACAAGCCATTGAGTACCATAACCAATAAGACCTTCAATTGAACCAATAAGAAGAATAACAGGAGTAGGCAAACGATCAGAAGCAAGACCAGCAAGCAAACCAAAGGCCTTGCCAACATCTTTAGCAACAGATAAATTGTTGAGTTCAAGTTGGGTCAAGTTCATTAGAGATTTAAGCGCATCAGAATAGTTTGAGAAGGTGTAGTTGTTGCCTGAAATAGCTTGGACCCAAACGGCAGTCACAAAGCCTAGCCATTTTGTAGCTGAGAAAGAAATTGAAGAGGTTTGATGAAAACCCATCAATCCAATCTAAATCTTAACCTGTCTACCAGCCTTAGATACCTCAAAAGAAATTGATTGGCAGAAAGAAAGAAAGAACCTAAAGTGCTTGCTTTGAAGCTCGGGCACACAGGGGCATGTATATATAAGGAGGATTTTTTTCTTTGACGACCGTAGTTCTTAAAGGACACGGACGGTGGAACTTGTTCTAATACATGTCATATGACATCATGGATGGCTGTCTTGTCCGGTGGGGGTGGGATAATAGTTAAAAGACTTCGTGAATTTTTTTTTAGCCGTGCGTGGTTTTTTAACCGTTAATATATTCTAATCTTTATTTTTTGTGTTTTTAAATACGTTTTTTTTTTTTGGGGGGGGGGGGGGATTTTACTGGTCTGTGAATCGGGACGGCCATGGTTTGGAGTTTCGCAGGAAAACAGCTTCTTTGATTAGGCAATTGTGCACAACGGTTAGGGCTATGGATTCTTCTGTGAATATTGGTGGATCTTCTTCTTAAGACTGAGAATGTTAGAACAGAGTTAGGATTCTGATTCCCATTTTAATGAGGATTTGTGTTTTAATTTTACTTGGGAATTTGTAGCAGAGGTTTGATAAGGATGGGATAAGTTTTATTTTATCTCTACAGTGTAATTTAGGGTATCAGATTTAATGAGAATTATGCTTGGATTTTTATTCATTAATTCTCATTTCTGAGGCCGACATGATTGTAGAAGAGCCATTTGATTAGTGGTGGGGGGTCCCAAGATCTCTAGAGAAAAATTGCAGTTGTAATTCTCCTTTTTATTTCATTCGATCGTGCGTTTTTTACCCTTCAATGGAAGATGATTTCAAGAAACAGAATATTTTTCTTCTAAAACAAGAACAACAGTACTTTGTATGAGAGAGAGAGAGAGAGGAAAATACACTTTTCGGATGGATAAGAAAAGAACAAATTTTTCTGCAATTGCCTAGCAGGTACCAACCCTTCCGACAGCTCCAATTCCCGATAAAAGATGCTATTTAGAAGATTTAAATGGGTAATGTATTTTTTAAAATAATATATATATGATTTTTATTATTATATGTAATTTAGTGATAAAAATATCATTTAAAATAGCTGATTATATTTTAATACATTTTGATATATAACTATTTTTGATAATTTAATATGATCAGTATTAAATAATAAAATTAAAAAAATAATTTAGATTAATTTAAATAAACTTTTTAAATGCATAATATGAATCATAAGATTAGGATAATTTTATAAAAAAAAAATAAAAAAAATATTTTTTTAAAATAAAATAAAAAAATATTAAAATGAATAATGTTTATTGAGGTTTTAAAATATTTATAAGATATATAAAAATAATATTTTTGTAAGAAAAATAGTATTTTTGACATTTTATTTAGTATTTTTAGTGGATTATATAAAACAAACATTGAAAAGTTAAATTAATTTTTTTTTTTAGCTTTTTATTTAGCACATTGCTCTATTTGCTGGAAATTATTTTGTATAGAAAATAAATTTATTAAAAATGAATTATGCTTTATATTTGATAGTATTATAAAAAATATGTTTAGAAAAAAATTTCAATATTTAAACATATTATAAAAAATAAATTGAAAAATAAATAATTAATATTTTTTAATATTTTATTGAAAAAATATTGATATAATCTGATAGATAAAAAAATTAAAAAATTAAAAAATAATAAAATTTAATTTTATAAATTATTTTAAATAAAAGATAAGGATAAAACTTAACGGATAAAAAACTAAAAAATAATAAAATTAAAAAAATTATTTTATAAATTATTTTAAATAAAATAAATAATAATAAAAAGAAGTTGAAAGTGTATAATTTTTATCATGAGTCTATTTTTTCAAGTTATGAAAAATGTTTTTCAAATAAAATAAAATTTTTTTCTTCTTAATACTAATTTTTCATTTAACCATAGTATTTTTTCATTGACAATTTTTTTTTAAGGTTTCCAAACATCAAAGAGTATATATAATATAGTTTTTAGGAGAAAAAAATTCCAAAAATAAACAGAGTCTGAAAGTTTTGTCGTCGTTGTTGCTGTGTTATTGCTGCATGCGTCGTTCAATTAGAACTCTCATGGTAAACCATGTATTTTTAATTTCGGAGTCCTAATTTTCTTTTGCGTTGCATTATTATCTTAATTCATTGAAAAAACTTTATTGCATACACGACCCTAACTAGCTTACAAGTCAGAGAGACATTAAATAATAAAATTAAAAAATAATTTAAATTAATTTAAATAAGCTTTTTAAATCCATGAATCATAAAATTAGGATAATTTTATGGAAAATAAATAGAAATATATATATTTTAATCAAATAAAAAAATTATTGAAATGAATAAAGTTTTTTGAGATATTGAGGTTTTAAAATATTTATAAGATATATAAAAATAATATTTTTGTAAGAAAAATAGTATTTTTGACATTTTATTTAGTATTTTTAGTGGATTATATAAAACAAACATTGAAAAGTTAAATTAATATTTTTTTTATTTTTAGCTTTTTATTTAGCACATTGATCTATTTGCTTGAAATTATTTTGTATAGAAAATAAATTTATTAAAAGTGAATTATGCTTTATATTTGATAGTATTATGAAAAATATATTTAGGAAAAAATTTCAATGTTTAGACATATTATAAAAAATAAAATAAAAAATAAAAAATTAATATTTTATTAAAAAATATCGACACAATCTGATAGATAAAAAATTTGGAATAATAAAATTAATAAAATTAATTTTATAAATTATTTTAAATAAAAAAATAAGGACAAAACCTAAATGATAAAAAATTAAAAAAATTATTTTAAATAAAACAAATAATAAAAAAAAGTTGAAAGTGTATAGTTATTTTACCATAAGTCTATTTATTTTTTCAAGTTATGAAAAGTGTTTTTGAAATAAAATAAAAGAAATTTTTTTCTTAATACTAATTTTTCATTTAACGAAAGTATTTTTTTCATTTAACGAAAGTATATAATATAGTTTTTAGTAAAAACTTTTTCCAAAAATAAACAGAGTCTGAAAGTTTTGTAGTCGTCGTCGTTGTGTTACTGCTGCTTGCGCCGTTCAATTAGAACTCTCATGGTAAACCATGTATTTTTAATTTCGGAGTCCTAATTTTCTTTTGCGTTGCATTATTATCTTAATTCATTGAAAAAACTTTATTGCATACACGACCCTAACTAGCTTACAAGTCAGAGAGACACACGCCGTTATTACACATCGCTTTGCTCGATCGATACGTTCTGGCATTTGCCCCTAAGCCCCGAACTACTGCGTGCAAACAGAAGGGTTTCCAATTTCGGTGAAGAAAGTGGAGCTCTCCAGAAAGGCGACGAAGTAGATGGGAATTAATTAAGCCAAGTCAGCCCACAGCTTCGTTTCCATTATGGGAAGAAGATGATTATTGATTCTTTGATAATTGACTGAAGGGTAGTCGTCTATTACCAGGCGACTCGCCGCATGACGGCAACGTTTCAGTTTGGAATATTATTTCGTTAGTAATTGCTGGGACATATGCATTTGAAGATTTGGTGTGTTCTTCGTATGGATACAAAATGCTGTGATTCATTTGAGAAAAAGGGAACAGAGCATCCGAGAGACCAGAACACCTGTTGTTTGGCAGAAGTTTCCTGGAAAGTGCGACTATTCAGATGGGCTCACGGGTTTCTTTAAAGAAGAATAATTCAAATTCCTTGGATAAATCCCAAATGGATCATCCTCCTCCTTCTTTCTTTAACTTGAATGGATCTTTTTTCGTGATTTAGACAAGAAGCAATTCGGCACGTTTTGCAGTCGTGAGATTGCATCTGCAATTTAGTGAAGCGTGTGGGCGGTTCCATATGCCATTTCTCTCTTCTTGTGCTTTCAGCCAAGCTTTTAATCCTTCGCTATGAAAACACAGAACAACAAGATTTACTCCAAAGATTGAGCCCCGTGGTGATTACTTTTGGAAGTTGATTTTGTTAAAATAATTAAGATTAAATATAAAAAGATAGTTAAAATTTTGAATAAAATATATATAAATTAAATTAAATACAGATAAAATATATATAAATTAAACTAAAAATATTATTTTATTTTAATAAATAAAACTATAAAAATATTATTTAATAGTTTTGACCATTGCTCGCATTAATGGAAAATGCAGATGGACTTTCCTAGACGCACGCACTCGCTAGCAAAAGCACATTTTATATATTAAACTCAACATGGAGTTCCGAGTTCCCATTGGGCAAATCGATCTGTTTTTTAAACAATTATCAAAACAATATAATTTTAATTATACCTTTTCAAATCAACAAGGTACAAAACGTACAAACATGGTTTTGCTTGCCAATCTTTCAAGAGGCATGGCTGCCGTTGAAAGTGAAAAGGGAACATATTCTTAGAAAAACGAAAACGGCAGAAAAAGAAAAGAAAGGTTAGAGGTGGCCGACCTACCTACCTTTACCTGGAAATTTAGCCTCGTTGACTTGTTACTTTACCAAATATCTTCTTCTCTTGTTAATTTACAGCAAGCATACGTCAAAATGACCATCGATCTTGTGCCATTCATTAATTTCTCAAAATTAACAGCACCAGCTGGGCATCTTGTGCGTGGAAGCTAGGCTCAGACTGCAGGTAGCGAGTGCTCCTCGGGCTGAACAGCTGGGGATATATGCTTTTTTTGCAAGTCAAAAACTTACCTCCTCCTCTCTGTAAGGACAACATGAATAGAGGTGACGGAGGAAAGAAATATCTATTTAGATTTTGTGTTTTAAAAATATAAAAAAATACTCTAAAATAAATAATATCATATTTTAATCATTTCAAACAAACGTATTTTTATTCTTTTTATTCATTTCTTTTAATCTTGAAATACTATCCAGACCTCAAGTGATAATACTGTAATATTCCACAATTCAAAACTATGGACCACACAGCGACTTCTCTTGATTGTGGGGAACAGCCCATTAATTCACGTTAGTGGGCCTCAAGCTCATTTCCGTACAAATGATAAAAAGAGTTGAATGTGTCCGTGTGGCGATTGCATTTAGTTCCGTGACCATTTTCGCATCCTATACATTCAAGTAGTTTTCATATTATCTTTTATATAAAAATAAAGAATCTTGATGGGCC